AGAGAGAGAGAGAGAGAGAGAGAGAGAGAGAGAGAGAGAGAGAGAGAGAGAGAGTGTGTGTTCTCTCATGAGCCTGGAATTCATCGACTAGGTAAGTAGGTTAGCCTGGCCAGGTAGTAATCTTCAGGTATTCTCCCATTTCCTCCTCCCAGTGCTGGGATAACAATCATCTCCTACCATGCTCTGGTTTTCTGTAAGGGTCCTGGGAACTGAGTGCTTGTGAGGCAAGCACTTCACGTACTGAACCATTTCCTCAGACCCCAGGGTTGCCTTTGGACAGCATCATTTTAGGAGCATCCTCGGGAAGCTGTAACCATAGCCCACATTTCATACCACGAAATAAAGCTCGTTTACACACTACATCATTCCTTATTTACAGAGATTACCAATTCCATTGGAAAGACTTGTGTAGACTTCAAAGCTAGACAACCCTGGGTTTAAATTTCTAACTGACTTTGAGCCAGCTACTTTACCTCTGAGCCACAGTTTGGGGAGAATAAATATAAAGCTTCAGCTTTCATGCTTCCTTGTTACCAGCAGGAACCAAGCAAGGACTCAAGGCATGGGTGTATCCAGGCCGCTTCAGGTTTTTTTTTTTTTTTCATTGGCCCAGAAAATTAATAAGATGTGCTTTCCTCCTACATACTCATTACAGTTGTACTGTCCAGGAAGTACTTACTGATCACTGAATGGATATTGATTAACATTTAGGACAATTGAAAGCATTTGGAATTGATTATTGGTTTGGGCATATGATAAGCAAATGCTTATAAACCAAATTCAGCTGAGAACTAGCTTCTCTATTTTCTAAATAAAAATCAGACTATGTTACCAATGTTGAGTCAAATAAAATTACCCCTAATCTATTTGTTCAAAAGTTTCTAGTTACCAGACAAAATGGACACAATCAGACTCTACTTCTGCTCTCTCCTGCCCCCTCCTCCTCCTCTGACCCTCACCCCTTCTTCTTGCTCACTCTCCAGGGTTCTACAGGTGCGAGGCAACCTCTC